GGGGATTCTAGATATGATACAGTGGGCATAGCACTCCAATATTTTCTATGAAATTTTCGCCGCTGCAACATACGGTGTGCCAATACCATAGTTTTCTCAGGTGATAAGCATTGCAATGGCCTGTGAGTCATTGCAAATGACGATGGTACAAGATGCATAAATTTGTGAAGTTCGCACCTCTTGCGCCAGATACCTAACTCTATTTCGCTCCAGACTTAAAATGCCATAACGATATTGGTACGCTTATGCCGCCTCTCATCCTTGTCAATCTTCCAACATCTAGTTTTCTAGAGTGGCCTTACATGCCTCATACATCTCGACTCTTCTAACGCTCATAGGAATATGGTTTTGCAACTGTTTGACGATGGTCGATGACAATAGTGAACTTTTTGATCTGCAGGACACTAGCAGACCATATCTTCTAAAACCACGTTAGGAATGATATGCTATCGATGACAAGCTTGTTGATTTCAAGGAACGATCATCCGTGCGAGCATTTATACTCGTGAAACCAAAAATTGAGACTTGATGTTAGGGACAGGAGGATTCAGCGGTCTCTTGCACAATTTCGATATTCCATTTCCAACAGGAGTTGTGGACGGGCTTATTTATGTCTTGTGGGTCTATGTGTTAGCTGGGCATGGCTGAAGACTTGCATTAGCAGCCAGCCAGCATTTTTCATTCATATTGGGGAACGACTCACAATTTGTTTGCGATTCAAATCTCCTCCGTTCATCCCAGTATTAAGAGATTGAATGTGGAGTGGAAAACTATATCGTCATCTTCAGAGGAAGCTGGCTAAACGGGCTCGCAATGAAAACAGACTCCGGACCGAAGGGCGTGGTTCCTTTGATTTCCTATCTAAGAAGCAGGCAACCATGCACTGCTGCCAGGTTCCAGCAGGTGCCTGACACCTGGCAAGCATTTTCACTGCCAGGTATGTCATTTGTTGTCATATATTGACATATACCGCCAACTGTGGTAGCTGAGTGCCACTGAACAAAAAGGATTTATAGGTACTAAAACATGGATACTACTTTTGTACTGACCATAAGAATAAAAGTTAAAGTGCGGCATTGCGTAATGCGTATGCTCACCTCCATATGAGGTCAATGAATATTGTGCAAGTTCCTGCCGATCGGTGCACAGTTACCTGTATCTGTGTTGTCTGACACGTACAACGGTTATTGCACTGGTCAGTGCGCGGCTGTTATACTGACGCCGATGGCATCAGGACCGCACGACCAGTCAAAGTACTAACTGACGATTCACAGGCTGAGTTTCAGTCACCCGAGATTGTCCGGCTATCATGAAGATAAACCAACATCGTCTTTGGCATTGATTCCGGTCCCTCGGCAGGCTGTCCAGCATTTTGCATCAGAACTGCTTCACTTCAACCACTTACCGCGAGCCAACTGTAATGTCTTCATTTCTATATCAAGTATGCATAACGCATCTACGTTTGAGAAGCACGGCCCACATGTCTGAATTATGAAAAAATTGCACAAGTGCAACGCGCTGTATCATGGAAATTGAAGGAATAGAAGGCACTCGTAAATAGATGCCTATGATTAGCGTTGTTCCCTAAGCACCGACTGAAAGGACATTTTGATACAAGAAGGATGACAATGAAATATTAAGAAAATGTTCTGATAAAAAGTGCACAGTAAAGGATGTCTTGTTGGCATTTTACACATTTTAACTGCCACTTTTATCACTGAAATTTTTAATAATATATATTTTCTCATCTATGTCTTCACTTCCTTCTGTGTGGTCTGATACCACTAAAAATTACCAAGTGGAATGCCCAATGTATCATATTTGATACAAAATTCATTTCCGAAATTTGAACTGCGAAAAAATATTTGATTCCAGATTTCGAACAAGGGACCCAAAATGAATCATATGTCACAAGGTGCTAATTTTAGGAACCGTGGAACTATGTGTGGGCATTAGAGGGTTAAAGGGACTATCCCACCTTTAACATGGGGTTTGAGTTGAGATAGCCAAGTTTGCGGCAAGGTTCAGAAACCACTATCTATCTAGGTTGCAACCCCCACGGCCTCTTGGTGTATCTTCAACATGGAGCGACCGTTAGTGTGACGTCACCTCGTTTAGTCATTCTGATTTAAATGGGCTTGTTCGTTGAAAAATCGCTTAAAACTTGGTCTGAACTTTGTTGTGGTGCCTACAGAGTAAAAAGAATCAGCTTTATGACAGTAATGTGGCCTGGGGAAGGAGGTAATTTTGGGCTGTGACGTCACATATGTGAAAGTTTGTGTTTGGAATATGGGAAGCCTAAGATGTTTAATGAAAAATAAATGCCAGAACCGTGTTCCTGGTCATCCAATCTATAAAGTCGGGCACAATTTAACTGGTTTTAACAACATTTTAGAAGGTGGGATAGTCCCTTTAACTTAACTCTACGTTAACTCTAAATTCTGTCATAGACCAGGAATTGCGTGATCGGAAGGTAGAGGACAGGGCCAACGCAATAAGCTCCGCTTAGCGGGGGCTCTGTCCTTCTGAATCCTTCCCAAGGCCCTAAATACACATCCTTTCATTCAAAGGGCTCGGACAAAATCTATTTTGTAAAAAATCTGAGATCCTATAACGAGCTATCTTTTGTTTGTTTGCGTCTTTCTGGCTTTCTTGGTTTCCGCGATAAGCTAGTGTGGCCAAATAAGATATACATTGTTATACATTGAAGACAGACTATACCTATATTGCGGTAATAAGTCTTTAATCTAGTAGTCGCCTTTTACTGAGAACGCAGCATACACGCCGCATATCACGGCTAATACTGCAACGCAGCTCAGATTTCATAGTTGGCATTAATTCTCACCACGGCCACCACGGCCAATTTTCACCACCACGGCAAAGTTGGTTGAGACCTGCACCAAGGCGACAGTTACTGGACGACCTAGTATTAGCTTTTATTCATTGCACCCATTATCTAGCCATCTTAAGGGGCCAGCCAAACGCTAATTGGCAGCGGACCGGCCGTTGGCAGTGGCACTTTTCATTGGAAGTGGACCACCCGTTGGTAGGGACCCACCTATGGGCGTAGGAACCTCACGAAAAGTGTGGGGGGGGGGGCAGCGAAACTTCAATGTCACTTTGTGGGAGCCCTAATACCACTATGAAAAATTTATTTGCAGTTTTGTGCTCATCTCACCCTGGTGAATCATTTCCTGCTCTTAGTTTTGTATCTAATTACAAAATAAAGCCTTACTTTAAAAATGGCTGAAAAGTGGGGGGCATGACCCCCTGGCCCCTCTGTTCCTACACCTATGGGACCGCCCGTTGACATTGAACCACCCGTTGACATTGGGCCATCCTTCTGTATCGTGTCAGACATTGTGATATTTATTCACTTTCGATGATAACACAAAAGCAAATATTCTAAATAGCCATATTTAGAATATATTTAATATTTATAAATAATATTTGGCTATTTAGAATATTTGCTTTTGTGTTATCATCGAAAGTGAATAAATATCACATTGGGCCATCCGTTGGCAGGGGACCACCCGCTGACTTTGGACCACCCGTTGGCAGGGGACCACCCGTTGGCAGGGGACCACCCGTTGGCAGGGGACCACCCGTTGGCAGGGGACCACCCGTTGACATTGGACCACCCGTTGACATTGGACCACCCGTTGACATTGGACCACCCGTTGGCAGTGGACCACCCGTTGACATTGGACCACCCGTTGGCAGTGGACCACCCGTTGGCAGGGGACCACCCGTTGGCAGGGGACCACCCGTTGGCAGGGGACCACCCGTTGGCAGGGGACCACCCGCTGGCAGGGGACCACCCGTTGACATTGGACCACCCGTTGACAGGAGGCCACCCGTTGGCAGGGGACCACCCGTTGACAGGGGACCACCCGTTGACAGGGGACCACCCGTTGGCAGGGGACCACCCGTTGACATTGGACCACCCGTTGGCAGGGGACCACCCATTGACAGGTGACCACCCGTTGACAGGTGACTACCCGTTGACATTGGACCACCCGTTGGCAGGGGACCACCCGTTGTCAGGGGACCACCCGTTGGCAGGGGACCACCCGTTGACAGGTGACTACCCGTTGACATTGGACCACCCGTTGGCAGTGGACCACCCGTTGGCAGGGGACCACCCGTTGACATTGGACCACCCGTTGGCAGTGGACCACCCGTTGGCAGGGGACCACCCGTTGGCAGGGGACCACCCGTTGGCAGGGGACCACCCGCTGGCAGGGGACCACCCGTTGACATTGGACCACCCGTTGACAGGAGGCCACCCGTTGGCAGGGGACCACCCGTTGACAGGGGACCACCCGTTGACAGGGGACCACCCGTTGGCAGGGGACCACCCGTTGACATTGGACCACCCGTTGGCAGGGGACCACCCATTGACAGGTGACCACCCGTTGACAGGTGACTACCCGTTGACATTGGACCACCCGTTGGCAGGGGACCACCCGTTGTCATTGGACCACCCGTTGTCATTGGACCACCCGTTGGCAGTGGACCACCCGTTGGCAGGGACCACCCGTTGGCAGGGGACCACCCGCTGGCAGGGGACCACCCGTTGACATTGGACCACCCGTTGACAGGGGACCACCCGTTGACAGGGGACCACCCGTTGACAGGTGACCACCCGTTGGCAGGGGACCACCCGTTGACATTGGACCACCCGTTGACAGGGGACCACCCGTTGGCAGGGGACCACCGGTTGACAGGTGGCCACCCGTTGACAGGTGACCACCCGTTGACATTGGACCACACGTTGGCAGGGGACCACCCGTTGACATTGGACCACCCGTTGGCAGTGGACCACCCGTTGGCAGGGGACCACCCGTTGACATTGGACCACCCGTTGGCAGGGGACCACCCGTTGGCAGGGGACCACCCGTTGACAGGTGACCACCCGTTGGCAGTGGACCACCCGTTGACATTGGACCACCCGTTGGCAGGGGACCACCCGTTGGCAGTGGACCGCCGACACAGACCGGGCCGGGCCGGCAGCTCAAGGTCCCCTTGCTCGTCGTCGTCGTCGCCGTCGTCGTCGTCGTGGGGCTGCTCGGCGGCGCCATCGGGCCTGTACACGGCGCGCGACGAGCGGTCCAGGCAGCCGTAGGAGCCGGGCTCGTTGAAGCACATGTGGCCGGGCTGGCACTGGTCCAGCCGGGCCACACACTCGTCCACATCTGCGCGGCAGTCGGGGGCCGGGCGGGCGGACCAGTCAGTGGGGCACAGCCAGCGAGAAAGTGGCACAGTGAGACAGATATCGGGGTTACATGAGCACAGTAAATACGTATTTAGCCGCTAATTCGAATTAGGAACGCATTACCGACTCATGTAGCCACCTGCTAGTACGAATCGGCGATCCGATCCGCGGTTACATGAGCAAAGCAAGTACGCATCACGATCGGATTCACCGCTAATGCGAATCAGGAGCGTACTACCGACTCATGTATCCACCTGCTAATACGAATCGGCGGTCCGAACAAAATCCGCAGGGAAAGAGGCTTAGAAGCGAATAGGACCATGATACGTATTACAGGAACTATTTCTTTCCAAAAAGAAACATTAAAATGCAAAATAATAGGTATTTTTCATTTGTTTCTTTTGAAATAATAATTAAAAAAATATATCAGTATTTTGTCAAGTTTTCAAAAATAAATATAGTGAAAACCAAAAAGAAAATATCAAAGTACTTTCAGTTGAAACATTTTTCTGACAGCACTACAGACGAATCAAGAGAGGCAAGTGCTCAATGAGTCAAAGCAAGACAACTTTATGTTTAACTTTTTTTTGTTAAGTTAATTGAGAATGTTTTGAGCAGATTAAATGCAAAAAAGACATAAGATATTAAGTTTTTAATTCAGTCACCTCTATTGCTACGGAAGTGCGCCACATTTGTATGCTATTCCGTTTGTAATGCGCATCGGGCCGAGAGCCAAACTAGATCCGTTTGACGTCACTGATACGAATTTGCTCATGTAGTCGGTGCACTGAATGCGTTCTTGGGGAGCTGATGTGAATTAGCGTAGTGGCACCTTACTAGATCGGATGAGACTGTAAGATTCATTAGAACGGCGAGGCCCACAGCCATACACACATCGACGCCGCAAACGCCCGTACGTGCTCGGCGGCGGCATCGTGTGAACCCATGACTCATATGAAACACCCAGTGACACCTAGCGGTCGGCCAGACATTGCACTGACGTGGAAGTGACTACAGGCGGCGGCGCCCCACGAACTGCACCCTTCCCTTTGCTGACAAACCATCACAGAGGGAACATCTTTGTGCTGCCTGCCGACGATTGCAGATTGCCACTAGGCGCAAATAAGGTGGGTCGTATCCTGCATTTCCGCTGCCGCCCTACTGGCCGCCACGACCGACTGGCCCTAGGACAGGGCTGCACGTCGGCCATTATTGTTCAGGCCAGAGCTCTCCAACGGCCGACAGTATCACCGACCGTATGCAATTTCTTTGGCGTCTTTCAGCGGGAAATCACGGTACTGACCCTATGCAGGACGCTGATCGACAGAGGGCGTGAAAGGAGTCGAGACCGAGTCGCGCCAAAAGAAAATTGGTATATGAAGGTTACTCGTACCACCGATCGCCGAGCACGTGCTAATGGCACCTTACTGGATCGGATGAGACTGTAAGATTCATTAGAACGGCGAGGCCCACAGCCATACACACATCGACGCCGCAAACGCCCGTACGTACTCGGCGGCGGCATCGTGTGAACCCATGACTCATATGAAACACCCAGTGACACCTAGCGGTCGGCCAGACATTGCACTGACGTGAAAGTGACTACAGGCGGCGGCGCCCCACGAACTGCACCCTTCCCTTTGCTGACAAACCATCACAGAGGGAACATCTTTCCCCACCTCCTCCCCACTCCCCCACTATTACATTATCTTCCCTCCCAACCCATTGTCTCCTCCTTTCATCAGTCCGTCTCGTCTTTCAGCGGGAAATCACGGTACTGACCCTATGCAGGACGCTGATCGACAGAGGGCGTGAAAGGAGTCGAGACCGAGTCGCGCCAAAAGAAAATTGGTATATGAAGGTTACTCGTACCACCGATCGCCGAGCACGTGCTAATGCGTATTTGGAACGGATCGCTGGCACACGATTCGGGCCGTATTTCACAAGAACTATTCTTTGCTGACTGGAAGCGTCAAAATGCAAAATACTAAGCATTTTTTTATTGGCTGACTGGTAGAAAATAGCAAAACAATGTTGGTATTTTGGTTTAGTCATTGCATGTGAAATAAAATGAATGAAATATTATGATAGATAATTTTTTTCTGACCACCCTGCTGTCGCTGCATGGCGAATCAGTGCCCACTGAATTAAAACAAGAAAACTTTGTTTATTTTTTATTTCATGTTAATTTTAAATGTTTTTGAGCCTATCAAATGATATAAGTATTCAAAATTTAGTTCGTCGTCCCGGTAAATGCCGCAACTGCGCCATGACTGTACGCTAATCCTATTCCGTTTGTGATACGAATTACCGGCCGTCGAGGAGTCAGCCCGGGTGAGCCAAACAAGATCCGTTTGACGTAGATAAAACGAATTAGTCTCATGTAACCGGTGCCGTAGATACGTTTGTGGGCAGCTGATGCGCATTAGCGTAGTGCGTATTTGGAACGGATCGCTCATGTAACCCCGGTAAGAGTAAACCACATTGAACTACTCTATTACCGGGGTTACATGAGCGATCCGTTCCAAATACGCACTACGCTAATGCGCATCAGCTCCCCACAAACGGATCTACGGCACAGGTTACATGAGACTAATTCGTTTTATCTACGTCAAACGGATCTTGTTTGGCTCACCCGGGCTGACTCCTCGACGGCCGGTAATGCGCATCACAAACGGAATAGGATTAGCGTACAGTCATGGCGCAGTTGCGGCATTTACCGGGACGACTGAGCTAAATTTTAAATACTTTTATCATTTGATAGGCTCAAAAACATTTAAAATTAACATGAAATCAAAAAATGAAAACAAAGTTTTCTTGTTTTAAGTCAGTGGGCACTGATTCGCCATGCAGCGACAGCAGGGTGGTCAGAAAAAATTATCTATCAAAATATTTCATTCATTTTATTTCACATGCAAAGACTAAACCAAAATACCAACATTTTTTTTTGCTATTTTCTACGAGGCAGCCAATAAAAAAATGCTTAGTATTTTGCATTTTGACGCTTCCAGTCAACAAAGAATAGTTCTTGTGAAATACGGCCCGAATCGTGTGCCTCGGACGTTTCGGTTACATGAGCGATCCGTTCCAAATACGCACTACGCTAATTCGCATCAGCTCCCCAAGAACGCATTCAGTGCACCGACTACATGAGCAAATTCGTATCAGTGACGTCAAACGGATCTAGTTTGGCTCTCGGCCCGATGCGCATTACAAACGGAATAGCATACAAATGTGGCGCACTTCCGTAGCAATAGAGGTGACTAAATTAAAAATTTATTATCTTATGTCTTTTTTGCATTTAATCTGCTCAAAACATTCTCAATTAACTTCACAAAAAAAGTTAAACATAAAGTTGTCTTGCTTTGACTCATTGGGCAATTGCCTCTCTTGATTCTTCTGTAGTGCTGTCAGAAAAATGTTTCAACTGAAATTATGTGGATATTTACTATTTGGTTTTCACTATATTTATTGTTGAAAACTTGACAAAATACCGATATATTTTTTTTTTTATTTGAAAAGAAGAAAATGAAAAAATACCTATTATTTTGCATTTTAATGTTTCTTTTTGCGAAGAAATAGTTCCTGTAATACGTATCTTGGTCCTATTCGCTTCTAAGCCTCTTTCCCAGCGGATTTTGTTCGGACCGCCGATTCGTATTAGCAGGTGGATACATGAGTCGGTAGTACGCTCCTGATTCGCATTAGCGGTGAATCCGATCGTGATACGTATTTGTTTTGCTCATGTAACCGCGGATCGGATCGCCGATTCGTACTAGCAGGTGGCTACATGAGTCGGTAATGCGTTCCTAATTCGAATTAGCGGCTAAATACGTATTTACTGTGCTCATGTAACCCCGATAAATAATGCATCTGGCGCATCGGCCGCCAGATGGTGTCCAACGGTGCCGCCATGTTGCGCAAACCAGGAAGCGGCCGCCGCCTGTGTTGGGGAATAGGGAATTCGGGACCTCGATTTGCGTTTGCGGCCGCTGTATCCGTTACGTTCAAGCTACGCAGACACGGAACCCGGCATCTTACGCAGAATTGAGTGGAGGTGAAATCCTAAAAATCCTCAGATACAGGTAACTTATACGTTATACCCTTATAAGTCAACGGGGAAATATGTAAATTGCTATTTTGGCGCCGGGAATGATCTAAAACTATCTCAAGCATATAGAATCGTGATTTCATGCTCTCCTTGCAAGGTCCGATGCTTCACATTTGCATTGTTGCCCTTGCTTGACGTCATTTGTGACGTCACAAGGGTAATAAACTTTTCTTCAATAACTCCCGATCAAACTGAGCTAGCGAATCGGGAAAGCCACAAATGGACTCAGAAAGACCTGCCGAATCGAATGCTATGCAACATGACCTTACTCAACGTCCAGTATCACTTCATGCGCCTGAGCTAGGTGAACACGATGATGCCAAAATCGCGGCTCTATGGCCATTTTTGGCGAAGTTATTTACCAAAAACCGAACCCGTGCCTTCGGTCACTTGAGCTGACCCAGAGGTCACCGGTTGACCTGAGAAATATGTAGGGTGACAGACAACTTGAGCGTGAATGCGTGAACGTGACCTTAGTTCATCGCATGACCTTGAGAGGTCAATTGGGTATTGGGAAAGTAAGATTAGATGTTGGCGAGTCGATTGGTGCCATTTGTAGCGCTCTAGCTCTACTGGGTGGGCCACAATCTGCTGTGCAAATTTGGGCCACATGACCTTTGCTGACTTCTGTAGGCCAAACGGCTGGGAGTGCCACCGAATGAGTCGGACTGTGGATTGGGCATGTAAGGACCTACATTGTGTGCGAGCTTCAGCTTGATCGGAGGTGTCCCGAATCTGGGCTGAATCCGGGCTGAATCTGGGCTGAATATGGGCTGTCTTGATAGTTGATGGACATGGCACTGCCGACTTTTGGTCCCATTCTTTCCATGCAACGCCCATAGGGCTTATGTTAAAATGCCAAAATCAAA